TGAATACCTCGGACCTGATCCAGGCAGAGTGCATGCCATTTCCTAAGAAATAGAATATGAAACGTAAGTACGATCCCGTTTTAAATTTCTATTTGTCTTACTTCTTCACCCTTTCTTATTAGTGTCTTTCTCGATGTAGCTGTTGCTTAGATGCCGGGTGCAGTTCCTCATCTTGAGAACTGGGTCAAAAACTTGGTCTCGACATCAACATTTGTCGAGTGCTCATGGCGCGATTTGTCGAAGGGTCGATGGGAAGCTCGAACTCATGGTAAGCTTCATCTTGTTTTACTAATTCATTTGTCATTCGAGGTGACATATTTTCTCGAAGCATGAGTTTTACTTATCTTCTTCTTCCTTCGCAGGTCTTGGAAAAGATACGGTCATGAGGCCCCCGACCGGTGGTGAAGAAATTTAACCGCCTATCTCGAAGTCGTTGAAGGAAAATAAGAAAAAAAGGACTTCGGACCCCGAGGGTAAAAAACCTAAGAAGAGGGCAGTCCGTAAGCCCAAGGAAACTACAATCCCACTGACTATGGAGTCGGTCCTGCGTCTGAGGGATGAAGAAGAAGAAGAAGAAGAAGAATAAGAAGAAGAAGAAGGCAACTCTGGGCTGGTGACCCGTGCACGGGCTGGCACCGATATTGGTAAAACTTTGGGATCGGTAGGGATCGATTCTATTTCTCCTAGGTCCGACAAGGTCGAAGAGAATACTTTGACCCAAGTTCCATAGCAAAGGGGGACTGAGGACGTTATACTTCGGGGCAAAGAACCCTTCGAAGAGGCGGTTGACAAAGATGCAGGGACCGAGCTTGAGGTTCCCCGAGATGGACGCGGTGCCTCGAAAGACATGATCGGGGCAATAGAAATCGGTGATTCCCCTTCTTTTTCTTTATTTTCCCAGTCTATGATACATGATGCCCAAGCCGTGGAGGTTTATCATGGGGAGGGGGTCCATGGAGAGGAAGACCCTTTCCATGGCTATTTTGTTGGGATTGAAGATGCTTCTGGTCAGCGCGATTCAGAGGCTTTGAAGAAGAGCTCTGGAAAAGCGGGGATTTCTTGTATTTTCGAGGAAGCTCAGCAGGCCCTGAATCGGGTAAGTTTGCTTTCCCTTCATCAATTTTCATACTTGTATTTTTTAACTCCTTTTTATCTTTTATAGGCTTCTGCGCTCTGTCACGAAGTGTTTTTCTGATCTCGAGGGGATCTAAGCCGGTACGAAGCCAAAATTTGAAGGCTTACTGAGGAGAGAGACACCTTCAAGCTTCTCAGTGAACAGAAGGAAGGAGAAGCAAAAGGACTTCGGGTCGAGCTAGAAGCAGCTTGGAAAGAACAAGCCGACTTGTCCGAGCAGGTAAAGAGGATCCTTGAAGTTACTGATACTGATTTGGGCGTGACGACTAATAGTTCGGTCACGCAGGTTCAGCAAAAGCTCGATGTGAATGGGAAACTACGTGCTGAGGTAGACGTGGCGAAAGCGGGGTCCGAAAAATGGAAAAAGAATATGGATCGCCTTGCCGCTGAAAAGGAGACCGCCCGGGCTCAACTGGCCTCGGTCGAGGAACAACTTCAGAGCTCGAAAGAGAGAGCCTTGGTGCAAGCCAAGTAGGGGTGGGCATAATACAGGCCGAACCGAAAAAATCGGTCGAACCGTGAATTTTGGTTTTTCAGTTTCGGTTTAGTCGGGTATTCGGTCAGTGTTCGTTTTTTAAATTTTAAAATTTCGGTTTTTCGGTGCGGTTTACAGTTTTGGTATTTCGGTTTTCGGTTAAACCGAAATCGAAATTTCGGGTATGAGTCCAAAACTTACATTACCCATCTGAAGGCTGAAGCCCAATACCGATCTGAAGGCCGCCCAATTAACCCAAACCCTAAGCCTAATTAGCCTACAAACTAAGACTTACGTTATTTCCCATTTTTCTTCCTTAGAAATTAGAAATTAGGGTTCCTCCTCTGTCTGCAGTGCTACCGAGTGCCGACGCCCCTATGACGCCTTCTTCCTCAGCTCGTCGCTCATCCTTCTTCCTCAGGTTAGTGGTTACCTCCTTCTTCTGAGTTTTCCTTCCACTATACTTCTAAGGTACCTATTCTGTGTCAATTTTTTCAAACGTTCTAATCCATTCAATACGAGAAGCAAAAGATCAATGCATATTTCTTTTCCAATTAAACCAAACAAACAGATGTATTAGATCCTCCAATCACGAAGACGTGTACACATTACTTTGCCCCTTCCCTTTTTTTTTACTTAGTTAAGTCTTACATTGGAAGTAAATCAACAAAGACGAGTTGTGTTTTTTCAGTTGAGATAAGCAACTTTACTATACATTTGATCTTTTGTACTTTGGTGCCCTTTTGTCCATCCCAATCTCAACCTTCCCCTACCTAACGCCCCTTCAAATTCTATAAAGACATTAGGGACAACTTAAGTTACATTAGTTTATTCTAGTGTCTTATTCTTGTTCTCTTCAATAATACTTTACAAAGACGACCACATGATGTTAAATACTACTTAGTTTATTTCTGAATATATTTTCAGACAATACCAACTCCCTTTTTGTTTCCTATTGTAATTTTCACTCCTGTACAGTGTATTGCATTTTCCCAGTCCAAAAACCTTCAACACTTATAAATGCAAGAGTTATATAGAAAATCTTTCAAAGGAAAGATCATTCAAACTTCGAAGCATATAAATAAGTAAAGAACTTCTATATCTCTATGTCTTTTTTATCTTCTCTGTGTTGATATAAGTTTGACAACAATAGAAAGCAGTATGTATATGGTATTTTAATATACTTGTTATATGATATCACGCAAAGTTTTTATCTTCTCTGTGATATGGTAGTTTAACATTTGTTATAGGATATAACATCTATATACATTTGTTATAGGATATAACTTTGCATGATATTGCACAGTTAGAACATTTTGACTTAAAATTGTTTACCGGGTTGCATTTTTAATTATGTTTTCATTCAATTTTCTATAGATGGCAGAAGTTGAAAGTAGAGTAAGTGAGGTGGGTTCATTTGAAAGTGAACCTACTTCTTCACCTACAAATTCAGTTGAAACTAGTCAAGGCCCAAAAAAGAAAAAAACCGTACAATGCAGATCAACTGCTTGGTATCATTTTGAAAAGTTTAAAGATGATAATGGAGGTGATAGAGCAAAGTGTAAACATTGTGGTCGTGATTATAAGGTTGATTCACGATTGAATGGAACAACATCATTGAATACTCATCTAAAGAAGTGTCCAAAAATACCACGGAAAGTTGATAATACACAAACACAATTGTGTTTACAAAAGGATGGGCAAATTAATGGTGGGGTGCTTTGCAAGAACTAGTTAGGAGGGCTTTAGTTGAGATGGTAATTACCGAGGAATTACCTTTTAACTTTGTTGAAAAGAAAGGCTTTACAAAGTTTATGAGCATAGCCCAACCTCTATTTAATGTTCCTTCTCGTAGGACAATTACAAGAGATTGTTTTCAAGTTTACAGTGAAGAGAGGCTTAAACTAATGAAAAATTTCAGAGAAGTAAAACTAAAAATTTGCCTTACCACAGACACTTGGACTTCGTTACAAAGAATTAACTATATGTGTTTGACAGGTCATTTAATTGATAAAGATTGGGTGTTGCATAAAAGAATACTAAATTTTTGCCCTATCTCTAGTCATAAGGGCGATGAAATAGCAAAAGTTATTGGTAATTGTTTGCTTGAATGGAAATTGGATAAGGTATTCACTGTTACTGTTAATAATGCTTCTTCGAATGATGTCACGGTCAAAGAATTGTCTAAACAACTAGATATGTGGAAAACGAATTCGATGAGTGGTAAACATCTTCATGTGAGATGCATGGCTCACATACTTAATCTAATTGTGCAAGATGGTTTGAAAGAAATTGATATTTCTGTAAAACGTGTTAGACAAGCTGTGAGGTATGTGAGATCATCTCTGCAAAGGACCTTAAAGTTTAGGGAATGTTGTTCACATCAAGAGGTATAATGTAGCAAAACATTGTATTTGGATGTTCCTACTAGGTGGAATTTCACCTACTTGACGTTGAAAACAGCGCAAAACTTTAAGGTCTTTGATAAGCTTCATCTTTTTGATGATGGATTTTCTACTCATCTTTGTACGCATGTTTGTGAGGATGGGAATGTTGTAGGTCCATTTGTATGTGATGATTGGGTGAATGTGAGAAACGTGATAAAGTTTCTTGAAAGATTTCATTAACTCACTGAAAAAGTTTCAGGTTCATGTTATGTCACTTCTAATTGTCATTTTGAGGATATATGTGAGCTTGATAGTCATTTGAAAGCTTTTTTAGCTAGTGATGATACTAATTTGAGTAATATAGAAGGGAAGATGAAAGAGAAATTTAAAAAATATTGGGGTAAACCTGAAAAGATGAATAAAATGATATTCATTGATTCTATAATAGATCCTCATAATAAATTAGAGTATGTTGGTTTTGCACTTGAGGAAATGTTCGGGGAGGAACCGGGGAAGAAATTAACTGCCGAAGTGGATGCTTATTTGAATTCTTTGTTTGGGGAGTATAAAAATAATATTCCAAAGGATGTTATCTTCAATCATCTCCATCTAAATCTACTTCATCTGATGACACATCTGATTCATCTAGTGGGAATGTGAGAAAAAAATCTATGAGAACAAAGCAATTATTGAAAAGGCAAAAGGAAGACTCAGGAAGTGTAAGTGCTAACTCTGATTTGGAAAGATATATTGGTGAAGGACAATAGTCAATGTCTGATGATTCTGATGACTTTAAAATCTTAGATTGGTGGAAAATTAATGCGCCTCGATTTCCTATTCTATCTGAGCTAGCTCGTGATGTATTAGCCATTCCAATTTTAAGTGTTGCATTGGAATGTGCATTTAGCACCGGTGCCCGCATTCTTGATTCATTTAGGAGTTCATTGAATCCTTGGTTGGTGCAAAGTCTTGTTTGTGTTCAAGATTGGTTTAGATGTGAGGGTACTCCTATTAGTGTTGAAGAGGTTTTGGAGTTTCTTGAGCAAATTGAACTTGGTAAGGTTTTGCGTTTTATGAGTGTTTTAGTGAAACTTAATTTACTTTGTAAGTTTAAATGACACACTTTATCAACTTATATTTAGATATGGCAAAGAGCGGAAGAGAAACTTGCATTGTTGAAAGAGATACTAGCATTGTTGATGCATAGTTTGAACATGTGGTAAGTTTAAAGATTTGCTTGTTTTATGATATCATTTATTCCTTTTGTTATTTATAATTAAAAATATTTTATTAACTTGTGATCTTTTCTTTTTTTATAGGTTCAACTATGCCTCGTGGTCCTAAAGCTAGATCGCCTATTTGGAAATATTTTGAGCTAGTTGAAGTAAATGATGAAGCCCGCAAAGCAAAGTGCCTTCATTGTGGCCGAGTTTATAATTGCCATCCGAAGTATTATGGCACTTTTGGCTTAGTGAAGCATATTAAGAAGTGTCTCATGCCTCATCCAGTGATTCGTATTTAAGACTTTAAGTATTCTTTTCTAGACTTACTTTGTGGGTTGTGATTAGTTTGCCACTGTTTTGTTGTTTGGTGATTTGTCTCATAATGCATGCCAAAGAGATTAGTCACTGCTACAGCTTTTTGATTTTCATATGGAAATTGGAAGGGAAAAAGTTTTTCTTTGCAATTTTGTTTAGCTATAACCGGACTGCTAGCCAGAGGCCGACCTAAAGATCTGTAGTCTACATCGGATATAAAAATCTTGAACCGTTAATAACCAAAAAACTAAACCGGAAATAACTGAACCAAACCTTGAAAAAACCGCACCGAACCGTAAATACTTTGGTTTGATTTGGTTATTAATATTACAAAACTGAAAACCGATAAACCTAACCGTACTTTCATAATAACAGACCGAACCGACTGACGTCCACCCCTAAAGCCAAGAATATCGAGGAGTTCCAGTCTCGGTTGGACTTAGTGACTTCTGATCGAGAAAGACTAGCCTCAGAACTGGCAGCGGCCAAATCGGGGCCCGAAATAGCCATGGCTAATGTTGATGCAATGGTGGCTGTTTATCAATCTGATGCTGAAGGCGCTCAAGTTCGAGCAAAGGAGGTTGTCGAGGCTGATCAAGCTCGATCAAATTGGGTTGCCGAGCATGCTAAATGCCAATCTCAGAGGGAGACTCTACAGGAGATCCATGCTCGTGGCTTCGATCTTTCAGCCGAGATCGAGAATGCAAAAGAGCTTGAAACCGAAGCCAGAGTGTTAGCCTTTCCTGATGATGATGATACCTGGATTATGAGTGGTTCTGAGAGAGGAAGCCTCGAGGGTGAAGATGCTGCTCCTGGAGAGGACTAAGCCCTTTTAGTATTTTTCTTCTTCCTTTTAAGACCGTTTTGGTATTTTGTAGAAAAACTTGATCGGCCATGGTGCCCTTGTAAATAATTTTGTTATATAAAAGCTTAGTCTTTCTTTCTGTGGCTTCCAAATCTTTTGCCTAATTTATACAAAGGCCAAAAGGTGCCTCAGCATGAGATAATTATTTGAAAGTCCGAGTGAGTGTTCGAACTCGATCATTTCTTATAGGCAGTCCCCGAGTGGATGTTCGAATTTGAATTAAGATAGCTTTTTTAAATAGGGTTCAAGTGAAATAATTTGTTTGAACTTGAATTTGTGTAGCCCTCAGGCTTTATAGTCGAGTGAGAATGATTTCTGAACTCGAGTTAAGGCAACCCTTAGGCTTTTCAGTCGAGTGAGAATGATTTCTCGAACTCAGATTAATGGCAGCCCTTGGGCTCGATAGATAGTCCCCGAGTGAGAATGGTTGCTTGAACTCGAGTTAGGGTAGCCCTTAGGCTTTAAAGTCGAGTGAGAATGATTTTTCGAACTCGAATTAAGGTAGCTTTTAGGCTTTTCAGTCGAGTGAGAATTCTCAAACTCAAATTAATGGCAGACCTTGGGCCCGATAGATAGTCCTTGAGTGAGAATGATTGCTCGAACTCGAGTTAGGGTAGCCCATAGGCTTTATAGTTGAGTGAGGATGATTTCTCGAACTCGAATTAAGAATAGCCCTTAGGCTTAGTGGTCGAGTGAGGACTTGCTCGAACTCGAAATAAGGTAGCCCTTGGGCTCTGTAGTCGAGTGAGAATGATTTTTCGAACTCGAATTAAGAATAGCCCTTAGGCTTAGTGGTCGAGTGAGGACTTGCTCGAACTCGAAATAAGGTAGCCCTTGGGCTCTGTAGTCGAGTGAGAATGATTTCTCAAACTCGAATTAATGGCAGCCCTTGGGCTCGATAGATAGTCCCCGAGTGAGAATGGTTATTCGAACTCGAGTTAAGGTAGCCCTTAGGCTTTATAGTCGAGTGAGGATTTGCTCGAACTCGAAATAAGAGTAGCCCTTAGGCTTAGTGATCGAGTGAGGACTTGCTCAAACTCGAAATTATGTAGCCCTTGGGCTTTGTAATCGAGTGAGTGTTTGCTTGAACTCGAATTAATGTAGCCCTTAGGCTTTGTAGTCGAGTGAGAATGATTTCTCGAACTCGAATTAAGGTAGACTTTAGGTTTTTCAGTAGAGTGAGAATTCTCGAACTCGAATTAATGGCAGCCATTGTGCTCGATAGATAGTCCCCGAGTGAGAATGGTTGCTCGAACTCGAGTTAGGGTAGCCCATAGGCTTTATAGTCGAGTGAGGATGACTTCTCGAACTCGAATTAAGAATATCCCTTAGGCTTAATAGTCGAGTGAGGACTTGCTCGAACTCGAAATAAGGTAGCCATTGGGCTTTGTAGTCGAGTGAGAATGATTTCTCGAACTCTAATTAATGGCAGCCTTTGGGCTCGATAGATAGTCCCCGAGTGAGAATGGTTGCTCGAACTCGAGTTAAGGTAGCCCTTAGGCTTTATAGTCGAGTGAGGATTTGCTCGAACTCGAAATAAGAGTAGCCCTTAGGCTTAGTGATCGAGTGAGGACTTGCTCAAACTCGAAATTATGTAGCCCTTGGGCTTTGTAATCGAGTGAGTGTTTGCTTGAACTCGAATTAATGTAGCCCTTAGGCTTTGTAGTCGAGTGAGAATGATTTCTCGAACTCGAATTAATGGCAGCCCTTGGGCTCGATAGATAGTCCCCGAGTGAGAATGGTTACTCGAACTCGAGTTAGGGTAGCCCTTAGGCTTTATAGTCGAGTGAGGATTTGCTCGAACTCGAAATAAGAATAGCCCTTAGGCTTAATGGTCAAGTGAGGACTTGCTCGAACTCGAAATAAGGTAGCCCTTGGGCTTGGTAGTCGAGTGAGAATGATTTCTCGAACTCGAATTAAGAATAACCCTTAGGCTTAGTAGTCGAGTGAGGACTTTCTCGAACCTCAAAATAAGGTAGACATTGGGCTTTGTGGAGCTTGATCTCGTTGATTTTTCGGTTGGAACTCCCCGATTTATGGGGTAATGTTTCAAACTTCGATCATGGTCGGCCCTTGAGCCTGTTTGCATAATAGATCATGAAATATAAAAATCATTTTGAGATATGAGATATCGATAAAGAAGAAATTTCTCTTTACAAGTCATTATACATGTGTTCATGTTTTGTGCCAGGGCTCGAGCAAACTACACGAGCATGGTTCGTTTTGACCATTTGGCCCTTACAATTTTTCCTATCGATACCCTATTGCCATGAAGTAACTTTCTTTCATCGAACTTAATATATTCGAGGGTGATGCCCCCAGTATTCGAGGTTGATTGTAAATAGGCCTTGGATACTGTTGAGTTGTTCTAAGCTAGCTTGATCAATGGTTGCCTCATTAAAAACCTTGCCAAAAGACCCATTTGGGATAAAATCGGTCGAAGGGAAAAAGAGTGCAACGCGTGCTTTCAGACCTAAAGGCTTCGAGTTGAATAATCCATCCTTGTTTCTGGTCAAACACCTGCGAGGGTTAATTTCGAAATATAAATGAACATGGGAGGGTCGTACCTTAGCAGTAATAACATTTTAGGTGCGAAACATTCCAACTGTTCGGTAATTGTTTGTCGTTTATCACGCCGAGCTTGTAGGACCCCTTTCCAACGATTTCGAGGACCTGATATGGTCCTTCCCAGTTCGGGCCCAGTTTTCCTTCATTCGAATTTCGGGTGTTGGGGGTGACTTTCCTTAGTACCAAGCCCCCGATTTTAAAATATCGAAGATTGGTTCTTCGATTGTAGTATCTTTCGATCTGTTGTTTTTGGGCGGCCAATCGGACGAGAGCGTCCTCTCGTCTTTCATCCAATAATTTAAGGCTCTTGTTCATGGTCTCGTTATTCGACTCCTTTGTTGCATATCGAAACCTGATGCTAGGTTCTTCGACCTCAATCGGGATCAAAACTTTGGCGCCATAGACCAACGAGAATGGCATTGCTGCGGTACTGGATTTCGATATTGTGCGATATGCCCATAGGACCTCGGGCAGTATTTCTTTCCATTTTCCTTTGGCGTTGGTCAATCTCTTCTTAAGATTTTGGATAATGGTTTTGTTGGTCGATTCGGCTTGTTCGTTTTCGCTGGGATGGTATGGTGTTGATAGGATCCTTTTGATCTTGTGATCCTCGAGAAATTTAGTTATTTTGCTGCCGATGAATTGTTTTCCATTATTACATACAATCTCGGCTGGCACCCCAAATCGACATATGATGTGGTCCTAAATGAAGTCTATTACTTCCTTTTCTCTGACTTTCTTGAAAGCCTGTGCTTCAACCCATTTAGAAAGAAAAATCAGTCATAAACAAAATAAACTGAGCTTTACCTGGGGCCGATGGGAGGGGGCCGACGATATCCATCCCCCATTTCATGAAAGGCCATGGAGATAGGACCGAATGGAGTAGCTCCCCGGGTTGATGAATCATGGGCGTATGTCTTTGGCATTTGTTGCATTTTCGAACAAACTCCTTTGCATTTTTGCTCATATCGGTCCAATAATACCCGGCTCTGACCGCTTTGCGGACCAGCGAATCGGCACTGTAATGGTTTCCACAAGTACCCTTGTGAATTTCCCGTAGTATGTAATCGGTATCTCCTGGTCCCAAACATATTGCCAATGGTCCATCAAAAGTCCTTTTGAATAGTGTTCCGTCTTCGGATAGGGTGAATCGTGCTACCTTTGTGCACAAAGCACTCGATTCCGTTGGATCTGATGGAAGCTTCCCGTTCTTGAAGTACTCTATATATTTGTTTCTCCAATCCCAGGTTAAACTTGTGGAATTTATCTTGGCGTGACCTTCTTCGATCACCGATTTTATGAGTTGTACGACAGTCCCCGAGTTGAGTTCATCATCTTCGACTGATGAACCTAAGTTCGCAAGAGCATCGGCCTCGCTGTTCTGTTCTCGGGGTACATGTTGCAAAGTCCAT